TCATACAGGCCCCTCTGTTGTACATCGCTCCGTCATCTTTATTTGATGATGAGGAGCTCTCATACAGGCCCCTCTGCCGTACATCGCTCTGTCATCTTTATTTGATGACGAGGAGCTCTCATACAGGCCCCTCGACCGTACATCGCTTCGTCATCTTTATTTGATGATGAGGAGCTCTCATAAAGGCCCCTCGGTCGTACATCGCTCCATCATCTTTATTTGATGACGAGGAGCTCTCATACGGGCCCCTCGGCCGTGCATCGCCCCGTCATCTTTATTTGATGATAGGGACTACTTATCATGCCGAGCTACTCACATCTAGAGACTGGTCTCGGCCATCCCCTTAGCAGACGGACACCGCTGCAGCTCCACACCCAGCACATCGTATCACCCCCTTGGAGCGAAATGCTCAGGTATGGCCGACGATGTCCCATGCCGAAGGGTTCACCCCTTTTGCTTCAACTTGAGGGCATCCGGTGTACTCTTTTTCCCTCATTAGGATGTTTCCCACATGGTTTTTCCTAATGAGGTTTTTAACGAGGCATCTTCCCATTGTGGATCAAAAGGTGTCGCCCTCGGCCCCCTACTGGAGACCTTCATTACTCTACTCCTTTTCACCGCATTACATGTGCCTCAAGGAGTGGGGTACTGGGGGACTGTATCGACCTCCACGGGCTCCAAAAAGATCCACAAACCAAAGACAGTGGCATCACAAAGTCCTCAACCATGTGATCCACTGTCGGCCAGAATGACAAGGACACCACAGACGTCCACCATCAGCTAAAGTCCAAAGCACAAAGACATGACCTTCGTCGTCCTAAAAAACCATGGACTCGCAACGTCCAATGGGTAAGGACCTCCATCGTCCACGTCACGAATCAAACTACCAAACCACAGATGGTCCCTCTTTGGCCTGGAACACCAAAAGCAAATACGGTGCCTCCTCGGCCGCGCAAGGAAACTAAAAACAACGAAGGGCAACACCGCAACGTCCTAAGACGTGAGGTTCATCTTCGGCCGGAAGCAAAGTACGAAACAGGAAAGTAAAGATTGAGAGCACATCATCCTCAGATCAGAGACACCCAACGACACCTACAGCCATGCGGCCTCTCCTTCGTCCAAATCAACACACCAAGTTAGGACATGTGTCGTCCTCAAAATAAAGGACACACATCGTCCTCGACACAAACGTACAAAGAACAGGTCACGCTGATCGTCCTCAAAGCAGAAGGGTACACATCGTCTACAACATGGAAACAAAGGCTCCACAACGGCCAAACGCAAAGAATAGCCACAGTGGTCCCACGTCGGCCGAAACATCAAGGTAGGACATCCATCGTCCACAAAACCAAGGGCACACAATGTCCTCTGGTCCAGGACCTCCATCGTCCTCAAAGCCATAGACACCAAACTACGAATGATTTCGCTTCGGCCTGGAGCGCCAAAAGCAATTGTGATGCCTCCTCGGCCAGAAGCACAGAAGGCAACCCACGACGGCTCAATTATGGTACCGCCTCGGCCGAGAACACCAGAACTCCCAGGTAATCCTCCGTCGGCCAAAAGCATCAAGACAAGAAACTACTCCCTTTCACTTCGTCTACATCTCAGCTCAGAGAGTGGGGGGCTCCTGATGGAGTATATGGGTCCAGACCCCATGACCCACATACTCAGAAGATTAAAAGGAAGCACAACTGTCACCCAGTGGGTCCTCCATCGACCAGATGTTCCTCCATCGGCCAGATAGACATCAACTCAGAATACGATCCAGAAGCCAGGAGAACCGGGGTGCCCCCCGTCGTCCAGACCTCCATCGGCCAGACCTCCGTCGGCCATACGTCCGTCGGCCACATAGAGCTCACAGAGCCAGACATCCACACTTAGCTAATATATGCGAATGTACTGAGCCCAATAAAGGTCTTATATTGTAATGGACCTCCCAAGCCCAAGACTTGGGAGCCCAACCCATATTTTCCCTACAAATACTTCTATTGGGAGCCATGTAAAGGGTTGGAAATTCATTAATACATATCACTTCGCTCTCTAGCTCTCACTTCTCTCTAAGAGTTAATACTCTATCCGTACTAATATTTTTATTACGTACGTTTTGTGTTCTTCATCTTAAATCATATTTTGATCAATTAGAATAATTATTAATATTACAATTATATTTTCACCATGTTCTCCCCATTTATTTTATTTTTCTTTCTTTATTCGGTCTATACAAAAATTAATAAATATTGCACATTATCACAAGTGAGTATCATGAATGTATTTATGATATTTTCCTTAAACTTTTTTTAACTATGCACACTTATTATATGATTATTCACACTATAAAAAGTTAAATAGAAAAAAAAACATCAACGTTTTTAATTTATTTTAGAGCAAATGCCAAATAATTATTAAATGATTAATTTTCATTGTCTTGAAAACTTATATATGCCTTAATTAGCTATCGTGCAAATGTTTTAGAAGCTATGTGCAATATTAAAGTGCACTTGTTTATGCATTTAAATACAAGAGTAGAAAATCAAATTTGATGTATGGAATATTTCATCGTACGGTGCATTGCAGAGTGTACAAAAGTGCACCAAAGTATATAATGTTTATTATATAATGCAGTGTAGAATGCATAAAAGTGCACCTATTAAAACTACAAAAATATACTATAGATTATTCAACTTATCTACATACAAATCATGTTTCAGTTACTAACCTACAAACTCAATAATATGCAACATTTTGAACTTCGTGTGAGCATTCCATCGAAGCCCATTGAGTTAGAGGAATAAACCTCAACAAGTTGAATCGTAGCACATTGAGTTATCTTTCATATAAATTTTGAATTGCTTCATTTTTTTTACTCCGGGGGGGGGGGGGGGGGGGGGGGGGCTGGAGTAAATATGGCTGAAGCTCACTCCATTGAGTTTCAAACCCTTATGTGCCTAGCGGGTTTCGAACTCAAGACCTCCCACTAGGCACGGTAACTTCACAACCAGCTGGGCTGGAATGTAGCAATTTTTGAATTGCTTCATTTACATTTGTCTATGAATAGATATGCTCACACGATTAATAAAACGTCATCATGATTTGTGGTTGCAAGTTGGACGGTGATCCAAATTTCCGTTTTCGGGATGCAACTCAACTTCTTCGTATTCAAATTCCAACTTGAATAACTTTTCATCTTAAAGCTAATAATTTTTTTTCCCGAAAACACTAAGACATAATAAACGAAATTTTAGAAAAACAATTTACAACTACTCTAACGGGCTGTTTGGATGGAGTGTCAGAAGATGTTAGTAATGGAAGAGTTATTAAGTGTTGGTAGGGACCTGACTTATGTTGCAGAAGGAGAACGGTCTTTGGAAGAAGAGGCCAGAACGTTGGGAATTTTATTTTTAAAAAGGGCAAAAGTTGTCCAACACTTCTTTGCACCCCAAATTGGAGTGGTAGAAGTGGTAAATATAGGTGTTAAGAAGGTTATGGTTAACACCCTCAAACACTTACTAACACCTCTTACAAAATTTAATTTTTCTCACAAACAAGTGTTAAGCTAAACACTCCTTAACACTTTCATTACTAACACCTCCTAATCCTCCATCCAAGCAGGCCCTAAGAGTGTGTACAAATGTCGTTCTTCTATTAAGATGCGTTGGGAAATGAACTTCTGATAATTCAATGTCACCAATGTCAAGATAGCACGTAGTATAAAATTACTACCTCCGCCCCCTAAGTTTGGGACAAAGAGGTGCAGTATGGTTTTTAAGAAAAAGTAGAATTGTGTGGTTGGTATTGAATTGATAAAATGTGAATAAAGTAAGAATGAATTCTAACAACTTAAACATTACCAAATATGGTATGAGACAAACTTAATGGGACAGACGAAAAAGATAAAACGGCACAAAGTTAGAGCATCTTCAATGCTATAGTGTGCACGGTGCACATGCGCATGAAAGATAACCACATAAATATTAGCAAATAAACTTTCTCTCTACTTATTTGAATGATTTTATACAATTTTGGTTAGTTTTCCCCTGCAATGTCAACATCTAGACGGTCTGCTTGACATTGTTGAGAAAAACTCACCAAAACTGCATAAAATCATTCAAATAAGGAGATAATGAATTTATTTACTAATATTATGTGGCTATCTCTCATGCCACATGTGCACCGTGCATATTGTACCATCAGAGATGCTCTTAGACCATTTGTAGTGGTAAGGTATTAGGAGTTTAAAGTGTTAAAATGGAAATTTTAGACTCTTAATTTCTTACATTGGAAAGCATCTAGGAGGCTATAAAATGGAGATGGGGAGTGAGGAATCCAATTCTAGCCGGACGGATGGACTCTCCCGGGGCTACTTTGCCAAAAAGAAAGGGTCATTGAACTAAGGTAGTAAGTGGGTCCCAGAAAATAAAACCTCATCTTTCTTAAAATTGTTATAACTTGTTTTTTTTTATAAATCAATTTTTAGAAAATATATATCAAAATTCATAAATTTTTATACCCTTTCAATCGACACCAATATGTAATATAAAAAATGAAAAAAATATGGAGTTTTAATTGTTGAAGTTTTATTGAGCCCCCAAAAACACGAAACACAAATTTTTAATTCATGTAATGTTTACAAATAACTGAATATTCTATAATCGAACTTTATTTGAACTAAGTTCATTTTTGTTAACCGAAAAACATTAAAAAAATTGATGAAATTTATTTATTTTTACATTGAAATGTGTATTTTTTATTTCATAATTATTTAGGGAAAATATTAAACGGAAAACTTTACTTATAATAAATTAATTAATGTTTTACTAAATTGATATGTAAAAATATATGATGAATGTATTTTATTGACGGTGCACAGATGAAGGGAAAAACAATATTGACGTAGTCTAAACACTTTTTTCATATGGACGGAGTACAAATTTAACAATTTTGATTCCTCACCAATACAAATGGTGTTAGGGGACGGGGGAGTACATGGTATATGAGTGGTGTCTTGGTATAATTTGCCCGTTGCAACTATGGGATGGGATAATTTGTGGCATGAGGTATGTATTCTACTGGTCACTAATAGTTGCCGACGCGAAAACATAGGAAATCACTTTTGATTTATTGCGCGTTTGAAGGAAAGCAAGAGAGAGAGAGAGAGAAAGTTCGTTGACTGGTCACGTTCTGGGAAAAACTTTACTGTTGGCGTTGAGATCTCCTTACCTTGTTCAACACAGCAGCTCAAAGGAAAAATCTTTGTAAGATTTTAATTCTTTATGCTGCTTCGATCTGAATCTTTTCTTTCTCGATGTTTACATTTCTCTTCAGGGAAAGCTAGCCTCATCTTAGCCTCAACAATTTTTTTTATTTCTGTTACGATAGCTGTTTGCGAACTTGCTTTAAAAAACCTTAGATGGAGCCCGGTGTTGGTAAATAAGGTTGATTCATTAGAACTGTACGTTGGCGTGTTATGGGGGTTGCTGTAAGTTTTTTTTTTTTTTGTATTTTTGTTGGTTTTGGCTTTAACAATTTGAGAATTTCCCTGGGCTTGTGTGTGCATTTGAGCTTGCAGAATTAGGCCTTTGCACCTTTTGTTTGGAGATCCAGTTTTCTACTCCCCCTACACATTGAAATACGTTCTGTTACATTTGCCTCTCCTCTATTTAGACATTGAAAATTCATGAATGTGCATCATGCCAATATGTATTGATGCATCAAGCAAATATTTCAGATTATCAAAACCACAACAAACAAAAATAAAAAAAAGAAAAGCTCACAGGAACCCCCAGTGCACATAGATGCCGTGAAATACATAGGTGATTTTGATATGGTCTATTAGATATAGTTCGGGCAACTCGCCTAGATGCAGGGAGGGTTGGGGTAAAAAGATGACATTTCAATTACATTGTCCGCCCCAAAAAGAGGGCAACCTTGATAAAAAGATTCTATTTTTTCATGTAATTTGCCAAAAAATGCCAAAAAGAGTCATTAACAAGCTACATATTATAAAGTTCGCTAAACAACAAATATATTTTAAATAAGTATGAGTGTGTGATGATTTATGACAGTTGTATTTTGCCAAAATTTCAAAGCTCTTCATGGGTCAAATAGTACCAATGTAGGACCTTTTCTGGGTAGTATAACAATTTGTCTGAGGTTAGTTCCTTTTGCATACTTCAACCTTCCCGCAGCACTTTTCCTGATGTTAGTTGCTAATTTGCTATTACTGAAAATGATTGTTATATCTGTTTTGGCTAGAGATATCTTTGGGGTGAAAAAAATATACTCCCTTTGTTCCAAAATGCTTGTCCCATTAGGGGTTTCGTGTTGCTTAAGACTTTAATATGTGTTTGTAGGTGTAAGAAAAAGTGGGGTTTTTGGTGAACTTTTGTATAGGTGTACTGCAGCTGCTATTTGGGTAGGTTTATGTCCAAAAGAAGGTAGTGAGACAAGTAGTTTGGAACAACTCTAAAAGGAAATTAGGACAAGTATTTTGGAACAGGAGTATATCTTTTAATACTTTAAGAATCTCCTGGAACTATAACTCAAAGTCCATCTTTACGAACAATTTCACTTATAGTAATAGTTATTACCTTTTTTTCTTAAGCCTGGTATAGTTTTTCAGTTTCCAGCTTTGAGTTTTTCAGTGTATTAAATATAGCCTGTAGTCCTTTTTTGGAGGATCTTGTCTCATAGATTCCTATTAATACTCATAAAATATTCTATTTTGAAATTTTGTTAAGTTATGTTTTATGTACTCTGTTTTTGTAAAAGAATACCGGTTTAAAGTAATTGACTGTTTTAAAAACTAATCCTATGCTTCTTTGCTAGAGCTTATAGCTCGTGTTATTTTATATTTAATTGATAGAGTAATTGTCTAGAGAGAAGTGAGAGCTAGAGAGAGAAGTGCAATAATATGCTTCAATAGAATGATTTTGTAACCCTGATAACTACCTCCAGAGGAAGTATTTATAGGGAAAATACGGACTGGGCTCCCAAGCCTTGGGCTTGGGAGGCCCATTTACAACTGGACCGCTACTGGGCCGAATACAAAGCCACTAATGGGTTGTACAAATGAGTAAGTGTAAAATCCGGTTCTGTGAGGTCTTCGTGGCCGACGAGGGCGTGGCCGACGAGGGCACGGCCGACGAGGGCACCCGGGTTCCTTGGCTTCAGGACCATATTCTGAGTTGGTACCTTTCCGGCCGACGGGGGTCCCTTGGCCGACGAGGGCACCACTCAGTGTCTTGTGCTTTCTGTTCTTCTGAGTATGTGGGTCCTGTGGCTCAGACCCATATACTCCATCAGGAGTCCCCCACTCTCTAAGTTGAGACGTAGACGAAGTGAAGGAGAGTAGATTCCCGTGCTTTGGTGCTTTTGGCCGATGCGGGCACTCCCAGGCCATTAGCTGTTGCGGCGTTGGCGCTGTTTCCATTTTGGTGATCTTGTTCTGTGCTTGGCCGTTACCTGCTCCTCGCTGTGGACGGGGAGGCCGTTGTTTCCTTGGTGTGTTCGTTTGGGGACGATGAGTGTCCTGCTTCGATGGTGGCCGTTGAAGGCACGTTTTCCCTTTCTTGGACGTTGATGGTTGAGATTTACATTTGGGCCGATGAGGCCGTTGAGGTTGAACCTTGCTTCGAGGACGATGGGCGTCCTTTCCTTTGGGTGGCCGATGGGGGTGCTTGCGCACTCCTTTTGGCCGTCGCTGATTGGCTTTCGTGTTCTTGGCCGAAGAGCCCATTATGATTAACTGTTGGCGGAGGACGATGAATGTCCTTGCCTTAGGTGGCCTGTTGGCCGTTGCTGATGGTGTTATGTGCCTTTGGCCGACGATGCGCCGTGTTGTCCAAAGTACCTGGCCGGAGATGGAATCACGAAAACCTTGGCGCCGTTGTGATACATGGACGATGTGGCCATGCTTTGTGGTTACATTTATGTTCTTTGCATTTTTCCTTTGTCTGTATTGTTGAGGCCGATGTAGTCCCCAAGTCCCCCACTGCTTCAGGCCGAAGAGTGTGAGGGGTGAAGGAGTTGCTTGAGTCCCTGGCCGAAGCGGCCTCTCCGTAGTGCCCCTGAATCCAACCCTTATGACGATTTTCTGGCCAAGGTAACCCTGTGGGAGAACCCTTGTGCGCAGATCGCTTGTAAAGAGTTATCATCAGGGGTCGTTACGAAGGCCGATGGCTGCGGGTTCTTTGTTCCTTTGGTTCTGTGGCCGTTACGGGCGTTCATGACGTTCCTAGCCGTTGTCATCTCCTTATCCCTGTGGAGGCATTGGGTGCCTTGGCCGTTGCGGGCGCTTTGCTGGCATTGTGAAGCCGGCAAGCGTATAGGCCGTTGTGGGCGTTCGTTGTGCGTGTGATCCGTAGGGTTTTACTCCGCCGGTAGGTTAGTTCACGACCCCGGCCCATTTCCGAAGGGGTGGCACCTCATTGGCTACCGGGAAGGTGACCGCTGAGGTGGCCACTGATATGGTGCCACGTGTAGTGACCGTCGGAGAGGAGGTCTATAAATACCCCTCCCCTTCCGACGCGGTAACCTCATTTGCAATCTGTGCCCACGAAGTGCTGCTGAAATTTCTAGAGAGAGAGTCTCTGAGGTGTTTGTTCAAGTGTTCTTCCGTTTCTTCAAATATTCGAAGGTCAGTTCTTCACCTGTTCCTTTCATATTTCGTATACTTTGCTTCCTGGGCCTTTGATCTAGTGTTAATAGGGGATTCACACTTAGATCCAAAGTAGAGACCTTTAGGGCGTTAATAGTTGTAAGATGAAGAGTTTGGACGAGGAGTACTACCCCTACGACGACCAGCCCTCCACTAGGTCCCTTGACTACGAGGTGCTTGAGGAGTTTGAAGAGGATATTTTGAGCATCTGAGCCCCTATAAGTCCGGAGAGCCGGAGGACGACGAGGGTAAGGACGAGGAGTCTGCCTCGTCTTCGAAAGGCGAGGACGCAGGTGCGTCCCGAGTGGTGGACGGGGCGTCCGCCTCTACTGCTATCCCGTGTCCGAAGTCGGTGTCCGCCGTGAAGGGAGCAGAGAGGCCGAAGAGGATAAGGAGGCCGAAGAGAATAAGGAGGCCGAAGAGTGGGCCAGGGTACTCCTACCTGGATCTCACGAATATCTACCTTATCAAGCCGGAGAGCAACGCGGCCGATTACTTAGTCGCGCAGATGTATGTGGGGCCGTTCGGGAGAGTTAGGGCACCCAGGCCGACGGACCATGTACTTAATCCGCCGCCGGGATACTTCGGAGTGTACCTGATGAGCTTCGCCAAGGGGCTGAGATTTCCCCTTCATCCCTTCATCACGGAATACTTGGACATGGTGGGACTTCCTCCGGCCTTGCTGACCCCGAATAGCTACTCGTTGATGGTGGGATTCTTGCTCCGTTGTGAAGAGTTGGGCTACAAGCCGACGACAGCTCTCTTCATGAACCTCTATCAGATTGGCCGAGGAAGCCACAAGAACTGTGCGGCCTACGCTACCCTCCAACAATTGCCGAAGAAGAGGAGCTTCACGCACTTGCCTTCGTCCATCCATGGTTGGAAGAGTAAGTTTGTTTTCGTGTCCCTTGGTGAGAACGGCACTGAATTTACCTCTCTCGGCCATACTGGGAGGTTCAATCTGCACGACCCGCCGAAGAGTTCGATCTTGGACGCTCAGGTGGAGGCGTTCCTGGACGGGGGGCTGAGGAGCGTGAAAGATTACATTACCGAGTATAAGATGACCGCCCTCGGCTTCTTCAGGTATTATGTGTATGGTGACAAGGAGGACGATGCCCAACTGTGGCCGAGGATGACCGCTACCTTTGAGGAGGCCGACGACCCGGATTTGGGCATTCCTGCTGAAGCCGATGGTAATACTTCCTCCGGCTTTCTTCCTTTGTTTTTGTTCCTTTACCTTGCTAACCTGTTTATTTTCCTTTGTGTAGACTTTGTGATGGATCGTCGTTCGATAATGGCCAAGGACAAAGCCAAGGCGGCCGAGGCGGCGAGGCGTGCCACGACCGAGGGAGGCGAGGCTGCTGCTGGTGTGGTCCCGAAGCCTGCCCAGCCAAAGAAGAAACGGCCTCCCACTGACGGCCAGAAAAAGCTGACCGAGGCTGGTCTGAAGCCCACCAAGAAGACGAAGAGGGCGCCGTCTCCTTCCCTTGTCGATGAGGTCGGCGTTCTGACCGTCCCAACTGTGGACGATGGTGGTTCTGGCGCTGTTGTCGCCATTGTGGATCTTACCGCTGCTCCTTCCAGCGCCGTTGCCCA